AGGATAGCTCAATTGGTTAGATCACGGAACGCAGGTTCAAATCCTGCCCGTTTCGTAATCTATTTCAATAAATTATTGATATTTATATATATATATATAATTTGTAATGAAATAGTAACAGAATGTTGCATTTTGCATGCTTTGGCGATAGTGATCCAACTTCTAAATATTTACTATTCAAAATTATCGTTTTTTTCTTCATTGTTAACTCGACTGGAAGTCTAATATTCAAATGGCATACTTATCGAAAATAAAAAAACCGGTTTATCTCTTCGGCTATCCGTGGCAATCAGATAGCCATAAAAAGCATTGCTACAGGGTGTTATATAAGCGCGATTGTGGGCAACTTTGCAACTAGACCGGAACGTACTTTCTTATACAGGGCAGCCACAATTAGTGTGCAATTATTAATTCTATTACAATATTTGCATACTATTTAGTGCCCAGTTCATTTCCTCTAGAACATTTGACTTGAAACTAAACCAAGTTTCGATATATTTAAGGTTTGGGAATTGTGAAATCTACTGACTTACAGTAAAATTAAAATTCTTATGTAATTGTAATTAAGTTAATTTAGTAATTAATATATTTTAGAGTAAGCTAATTTCTATATTATTACTAGCTGTGCCCGCGACTTCGTTCGCGTGGAATAGTGACTTGGGGTAGAATTTTTAATTGTTTAGGTTGTTTATTAATTTATGTAATTGCGCATTTTGTCGTAGCCAATCTATTTTATAAGTGCTAGTTGTCGCAACACTCACACCTCTCATCACTCCTACTCTAACTCTCACTGACTGATATAGAATATTGGTATTTGTATTTGTAAAACTGATAAACCCACCCATTTGATGCTAAATGTAGGTATTTTATAACTCACAACACACTTCTAGTACTTTACTTTTATGTTGGTTTTAAATAATAACATAGTTAAAAAAAGAAATGGATAGACAAGAAACGTAAATATAGGTTAGATTTAGTTTGCACGTTACGCTTACAGGTTGAACGTGTTTTTAAATAGCTAAATTAAAAATCATTATTAATTAAGTTAGTATTAGTAAAGGCCGTATCCATAAATCTTCAAACGGTAATTTGAAAAGATATCCAAAATAAAACCACCTGTATAAATCTATCTCCGCGCAACCAGTTTTACGCAAGAGCGTGCAAAATGACCGGAGTCGATCACTTCCTTCACGACTCTGTGACTGTCCCACTTTTGGGTCGTTTATTTTTGCCAATTTCTGTCAAATAAATGGCGTTACAGCTGAACCGATTATTGAACCGCTGATATAACTAGGTTTTAAATTGAGCTTTTTATCGTGGATATTTCTTATTTAGGTATCATTTATTTTCAAATGTCACTTGTGCATCTTTATAAATGATTGAGGAGGACCAACACGCATGGGGTCCACTGAATGGCAGTGGATATACACCAGCCTTGCATCTAAGCAAGATGCGCTGTCGGCCTATTTTGGCTTTCGACAATCGGAAATTCATACACTGAAACCGAATCGCGATTAAGCTTCGCGGCTTTTTCATCTGTGATAATATCCAGATTCCCACAGAAAGTCCAACATGTCTCAGAAAGATTATAAATTGAAAAATAAGAAACATTGCCTCGGTGGGGATCGAATCCACGACCCGTTCATTATTAGTTATACATTTCTACGATTAGACTAACAAGCCCGTTAAAATATTTATCATAGAATTTTTATGGTTTTCACTAAACTCAAAACAGGCTTGCCAGTGACTAAAATAGATCACTGAAACGGACATATAAATGTGTCTACATCGCCCACTCGGGGTGATTGTCTTTTATTGCGTATTACATTTCGTTATTATCGTAAATTAACTTAGAGTGTTAGCGACTTTGTCCGACTTAGTGACTATGGTAGAATAGTTATTTGGGCATTCAAATTCGTTTGAGCAGTTGATTTAAGCAGTTGCCCACGGCGTCAGTCGCGCCCCATCGTTCTTGCAAGTTAATCTTACAAGATAGACATATACACTCTTATTACAAAACAAGATTTATTTGAAATCCTTATTACAAAACGAAGTTTAACGTTTGTACTGGACTAACTATGGTACTAAGATTTATTTAGACCGTGGTTTAAGAGTTAAAGACTCGGCAGTTTTGGTTTAAATATTTTTTTGTAATAAGGCCGATTGTGTCGCGAACATTTTCTTAGATTCATCTAAAGATGGATTATTCTTTGCTACATTATGTGTATCGTAAAGCGTTTTCGCAACGTGCGCATGCTACCCACAAATATTAATTATTTTTTCATTTTTTTTCACTATAAGTATACACAACGCGATGTTTTTAGCCTTCCTCAATATATGTTTTAACCAACACAAAAATATATTTTTCAATTCGAACCAGTAGTTCGTGGAATAGCGCGTTCAAACAAATTCTTCAGCGTTATATAGTATAGACTAATATACGTTATATAGTAAAGACTTTACTGTGGGGTTCTTATTACAGTGTGTTAAACAATTTTGCGTTTTCATTGGGATGAATGTCCCATAGAGGGTTCGTCCGATAGCAGTTCAGTATTTTAATCAGTCAAATACTAGCATTTACATCACACCGGTAGGGAACCTGAAAGATATCAATATTATCAAAGAAAGTAAATACGCAGATATTTTATTATTAATTTTTAAATAGAATCGACGGTTTATAACGTGAAATAATGAGGCCTATATATTTATTTTAATTACGACCCGTCACACAGTCAATTGGATGCTTTGCAGGGTCCGTGGTGTCGGGGCACTGTCGGGGTGATAACTTTAAATCGCGTTTTAAACAGGTAATAGTATTTTATTTGTATTTACTACTCCAGTAACCGTAAAAACTGCTTTTAACCAGTATTGGGCCTCCAATATCGACCGCCTGGTTTGAGACCATACATATACTGTAATCAGTCTTAGGTAAATATAGAGATTGGTTACTTACCTCGGTCTAACTATTAGCCGGATAAGTTTTTTTATACCAATGAAGCAAATGCAAGATTAAAAAGATTTTTTTATGATTTTCTCATTGCGACAGTCTATACTGATGATGAAGAGTTTGTTTGTTTGCTAGAACGCTAAAATGTTTTATCGAAGAAGGGTCTATCTGCAAAATACAGTTGCAATGAAAAAGGTTTCCGTTACATCCGCTGAAAAACGATTCAAAGAACCACAAAATATATTTGAAAATATGATTCGTCTTTAAATTAGGAAAAACGTGCTCGCGGCAGTAGGTTTATGTCCGATACTGTCTATAGTTTACGCGAGTAGTACACATTTAAATAAAGCACTTTAACGGTTTAAAACGCGATATATTAAACATGTTTGACTTAGTGAGTAGTTGAGTATATGTCTGCCATTTTTGTTTAAAAATAATGCATTATTACAAATTATTATTTCGTAGTTGTATCAAAATTAAAATATTACTCTGGAAACAACAAAACAACGTTTGCTGACGCATATTTGTATGGGAACAAAGTTAAAGGCTGGGGAGGACGCTAGATCTGAAACAGGTACTTAATATTGTAGATTTTCGATCTATTTTCAGATCACCCGCAATGTTATTACTTACTCAATGCAATTCTATTTCGGTATATGATGATTATAATAGTGGTTGTACGTCGTCCGTCGACCTCGGTGCATTATCAGTCAGTGCATTTTTATCGTGCACTGATCTTGCACTTTTTCCTGAAAAGTAATCGTTTGCATCGCAAATATCACGATAGCGCGAGCAAATATCATATTATTATCATGTTGCAGCTAGTCAGTTGTTTTGGGCGGTTTGGAGAATGGCTAGAATTTAGCCAACTGCGATAGTCATCGTGTCTTGGTGTTATGTCAACTTAGAATATATAGAGTACGTGCTGATCAACTTTGTATATCACTGTGAAATAGGTAAAGTTTGCTCGATGGCAAATGAAAATTGTCTGCTGCCTCTACTTCTTTTTATAATCTCTTTTGTATCTGATTATAAAAATCCCTGAACTCTCATTTGTTTTATGTTTCCCGGGTTTCGAATTCTCTCGTTTAACACAATGTTGGGCAACACGTTTGTCCGTCGTGTCCTTTAATATTTCATCAATAAAACGGGGTTAATGTATTTTCAAAAGCACGTGAAATAAAACGCGGGCAAAAGTTATCCTTGTGATATTTCTAGGGTCTCGTGTTTTCTCGAGTTTTTCAATAATTAAAAATTCTATCCAGATTGTATAGTCGCGTTTATTTACTACGTATGTTATCTATCCAGGATGAAATAATTTAATAAACGCAAAATAAATTATGTATGCTAAAAATCATACTTACATGATCAAACATCCTTTTAAAAAAGGAATATTTTTAAACAGCTGTTGCGGAAATATTTGCTCCAACATTAACTGTGTAGGAATAAACGCATAGGCATAAAAATGTGTTCTTATCTGAAGAAAAATAGTGTGTTAGTAAAATAACTATACGACATCACGCTTTATTTTTTAAACAACTTTTCCTATAACAAAGGGTTTAAAATTGGTAAAAACAATTAATTTGAGCAGGTACTACATACCTATATTTTAATGTAAAACGAATTATTCTTTTCATTTACGTACAGTAATCAATATTTACACTTACTAAAGATGAAGGCTAAAATTCTACTCGTATTACTACATATTACATTTAGTACATTTAAAAACACTTACCAGGCTAAAAGTTTAGCAAAATGTCAAATAAATAAATAAAAGAAAGAAAAAATGTTGAGGCCGTCGAAAATTTAATCTGTTTTGTATAGTACAGCCATCTAGTTTTGCTATAATACATAATCAGATATACCGATATGTTAGTAAAATTGTTATCTGCCACTAGATGGCCATAACAATATTAGTTGTACCAATTTCTACTCGTTAACAGATGTCGCTAAAATAAATTTATGTTTAGATACAGTTTTTTTTCTACAGATGGCGTTTACCTCAAGTACTTTTAGTAGTACAAAGTCAGAACAGAAAATCATGTATGTATTATTATTTATTTATAAATGCGACTAAGGTTTCAATCGCTTCTTCGCTCCCCATATTATCGTGATCAGAAGCACCATTATCGAGAATCACTTCTTTGAGAGCCAAGGTACTCAACAAAACCTCTGCCTCATTTTTTGTGTCACTCTCCAATATCCGTTCGTTTATAAGATTCGACAAGTTTATTTCGTCCATTGTTTTCTCGTCCAAAACAGTCTCTCTTTCCGTTCGTCGGAAGTTTTTTCGCACGTTGAATCCTGCTTCTCGAAGTTTTTTCTTAGCTAGCTCTAAGAAAGTGGGTGAATGTAGAGTTTCTCGTAACCAGTTCTTGATTTTGTTCTTTTTGTCTTCAACTCGGGCTTTAAATCTGAAATTTCATTTTATGAATAATATATATTATCACAGTAATGGACTATATAATTTATTATTGAAAAAAATATACAATGCAATGTTGCATAAAAAATACGTTTTTATTCCATCAAATCCGCTTTAGCTTTCTTCGCTATAAAAGACAAAGATTTCGATTAAGACGTTAACAACACAATTAGACCACCTCTATATTTTTAAGCACCAATAATAAATTTACCATGTCCTATCTTTCCTTTGTGAAGCAAGGGGCAGATACATTACGTATTGTTTCCGCTTTACTGATATATCGTATATACGAGAAAGATCCCGCCCAATTTTTTGTGTTATCTCAAAATTCAAACACGAGTTTCTGAAGTCCCATACAGATATTAAAATGAGTCGTTATTTCCGTTGCATTTAACGTGCGGTTTCTGTCACATATTGCTTCCGACCAGATTATTTATTCGTGAAACTTTATTATTTATTACTTATTAAATGTCAGTACACAGGTATGATACGAAGTCTGTATGACTAGCTCTTTCGCTTGATGGTTAAACGAAAGGTCTTGAGTTCGAGTCTAGGAAATTGAAATAAATTTATAAGCTTCCCACCTGAAACCAACCTTTTAATCTATAACAAAAAGTAAAACTCAACGCTGAAAATAGACTTAGAAATGAATTTGTCCTCATGCCCCGGTTAAGAGAAACTGGAGTTTTGTTAAGCCATTAAATTAAATACAATAAATAAAAAAATCTAGTTTTTACTATTATGCTAATTGCATGCTATATATATGATATTACAACTAAATTATCGAATAATCATAGTAATGTTCGAAGTAATTAATTTTTTTTTTTGCTTTTCAATACAATTTAAAAAAATAACAGTTATGTTGTAAAGTAAGAATAAAGATTTTACAAAAACGACTTACTTCTGCAGCTCTTTCTCTCTTTGTCTCGCTTTTTCGATTTTCGCCTTTAGCTCTGGCACCGTGTGGGCTTCGTTTGAAGTCACTGTTTTCTCAACCCACTCAGTAATTTGAGTTACTCTGCTGTAAACACCTAACAAAAAATCTTTTAGTACTCTAATACACTTAATACTAATAAATATGAAAGAATCATAGTTATTAGTAAGGAATAGTAAAAAAAAAAGGATGTTAACTTCAACCCACCACGCTACATTAGCGCAGATGGGCCTTAACCACTACTGATAAAAAATTAGTGGTGATGAAGGTAATAGACAAAATTTACTCTTTCTAGTCAAATATCGTTTGTTTTTGATAACATAGACTATACTTACAACGACACTTCAATGGCCATACATTACTTAGCAATATAATAATTAGATTAAAAAGACACTTTTGACCGTTTAAAACGCGAAATAAATTACTAAACATATTGACAATTTAACTACTTTCCGACTTTTCGTATGTTTTGCAGCCGTGTTCATGCGCAGTCTAATATATTTCGTGTTTTACGTTCGCGTCAAAAGTGTCCCTCCACATACATCTATTATTATTTATGTGTTTCTGTTTTTTGTTTTTTATTCCTTGTATTTTATTTTGTGTTGATTGAATGATTTCAATTGATTTGATAAGTATTTTATTTACTAGTAGTATTTGTACTAGTGTAAACTATAGACGTCATAATTAGGGTAGTAGAACTTTTTTAACGTTATTGTTTAGTAGTAACTTGGTGTGAGACACAGAATTTCCATTTACCGTATTTTACGTAAATAACATACCTGGTGAGTGTGGGTCACCACACTGTTTACCCCCAAACGATACTATCCCCAGGAGAACACCGTCACGCACCGCCGGACCACCAGAATCGTGCTGCGTAGTTCAAGTTTAATATTAAAGATCACGATAACTAGATAAATATGACCATGGTAACCCGTTTCTCCCCTATGGGACATAGCACAAATTTTCTTTACCTTTCACTGATCTACCTTCTGTTCACTATTGAACTAAAACAATTTATTGTTCAGGGTTCGAACCCAACACCTTATGTAAATACTGTCTACAGTTTACGCGAGTAGTACACATACTTCTCCCCCGTCTCCCCGTGACCGCGGCTGCTGCAAAGCATCCGAAACGACGGGCCGAAGTTAAAAATCATTTTCAAATAAGTTTCACTAATATATCGCGTTTTAAACCGTTAAAGTGTTTTATTTAAATCAACACCTTATGTGTTTACCGCAATGTACGTAAAAACGTTTAACAAGTGATTATGGGAGTCAGTAACAGCACTTCTAGTTGTTCTATATATGTACATCTATTGTATCATTGTGGTTGGGAAATAACACCATGAAGTGAACCCTTGCTTATCTTCCGTTATAAAAAGAACGGCCATCGTTGCAACTATGAATAGATATCCTTTTAAATATAATACTATTAACGGTTTAAAACGCGAAATATATTATTTAGCTACGTTAGCGCCATCTGTTTCATCGTAGTAATAGTAGACTTTGAAATTAGGGATACCCACTTCAGTGCCCCCTTGAGCACGGCTGCTGCGAAGCAATCGAAATGACGAGGGGTGGTTAGAATAAATTTTACTTAAGATAAGTAATATATATAGTTCCCGTTTTAAACCATTAATTGTGTTCTATTTAAATGTGTACTACTCGCGTCAACTGCAGATAATACTCAAATAGACATCCGTATTTGTTTAAAAACTAACATTGCAAGCGTCTTTTCCACCAGTTGCATAGCCAGCGCAAATCATCCTAGGCGTAATATAGAAGCGATAGGCCTTCTGACACTCTTCTATCTTCATGACTGGAACAGGCACGAAGCGAAGCCGTTCCGGTATGTGGCCGTAACCAGATTCCTTTAAAGGAAACAAAAGATGTTAAGTATTGCCTATATTTCAGACGAGTAGTATGAAGTATTAGTTAAATAACGTTGCGCGTTTGAAACCGTTAAAGTGTTTAGTTGAATCCAAAAAATATTTAGATTTTTATTTCCTTCAGGTATTTTGCTTAAACGCAGTAAAAAGTGTATATTTATTACACATTTTGAATGTACCAAATATAATTATTATAGCTATGTAAATACAACATCTAAATTCTTATTTATGGTTTACCCATTGTGTAGACAACATAAACAGAATTTCTTTTTAACTTTAATAATGATTACACTTAAAGTGAAATGTCGCCTCTTCTCGTGGGGTATGGGGCCAACAAAATTCTGTATCCATTTTATTGATCGTTTTTATTTACAGCAAAAGTGGTTGATCAGACTTCTATGCCCTTCCTGACCACAGCAACCTAATGTTCGAAAGATATGACGCGCTTAATTCTAGGCAACAGTTTTATCCATTAAGTAACAGACCCGGCTACATTAAACAGAACCTGATAACAAAAATTTTAAGATAATTTAATTGAGCTACCGTGTCCTAAACACGACTAAGTAGCTCAATTGGTTAGAATAGCAGAACTGATTGCTGATTGTTTTTCAATCTTGATAGATTGTTTCACATAATGGCAGCAGTTCACTCACATCAGTACTTCCCCAGCCGGTAACAATGAGGATGTCGTCGGTTTTAATAATGTAATCTTTTGAGGGTAGATTCAGAACAGCTATATTTCTCCCGATCGGCATCGGCCTGTCGAGCCGAAGCAAGCTGTAGTCGAAGTCCGCGTTGCCAGGTGAATAGTCTTTCGGGAAAAATACCTAAATAGTAAATAAATTTCCTTCGTTCAAACTTTTCAAAAAATATCTTACTGAAGAATTAGGAATAGTGTGGACTGTCAGCTTCGCTTTGTCAAGACCGACTTTGACAATACAGTAGCAATGTATGGCTAATGTCGTGGGTTTGATCCCCGCCAGGACCAAATTTTTCAAATTTATAGTTTTTCTGAAACATGTTGGAGTCTGTCTTGAAATCTCGATATTAAATGGATGGTAGAAATGTAGACATTCCGTCCGGGTCACGAACTACAGTCTACAGATGAAAAATCTTAAGTGAATCGCGTTTCAATTTCAGGTTTCAAAAAGGTCGACACCACATCTTGTTTAGATGCTATAGATGGGGTATATCAGCCACCCTCAAGTGACCCCGTGCTTGTCTGTCCTCCTCTCTTACTACCTTCAATTTATTGAGTAAAATAATTCTATATGGACTCTTATACTATATAATGGTTTATTAGTTTAAACGCGCTAATCTCAGAAAATGTTGGTTTGAAATGTTTCAATTAGATCTGTAGATCTTTTAATGTGTAGAAGAGAACAACACGCGGCGAACAAAAGGAGCGAAGAAACAATGTTACGGGTACATTTCATGTTTAAAACCGTTTTATTGAAATATACTATTTACAAACTATAGACAATACTATTATATACCTTATTCACTCTCGCTTGGTATCCACCTCTGTTGTGGAAAGAACTCCCAGCACGTACAATAAACGGCTGCAATTTCTTCTTATCACCATCATGAGCTCTACCAAAGAAAAGCTGTATGAAGTTGTTCTTTTAACACATTAGTCAAAATTAATCTATCTGTGTACGCATGCCATGCATGGTATAGGTGGAAATCGAACCAGTGCTGAAGTACTAACAAGATAAATACACAGTACAAAAGTTCATATCGTCACTTATAATGTTTTAACAAAAATAACTCCATATATCATTTATTAAAAAGTGAGATGTGATGTGAAAAAAATAGACATGTTTTTTTTTCACTTTTATAAAAATCTAGCTAACCCGGCAAACGTTCTTTTGCCATATAAAGTATTTCGACGAAATTTGATTCCCATAAAAACGGTTCTTGTGAGTTACCGTATAAGATAAACATTCAGAGATGCGTGCATTTTTTAGATCATTTTAAGATGAATTATTTTCGCCGTTTTTCCAGATTTTCCCAAGGTTTCTACGTTCCTATTGGTCGCGGCGGGATGTTTTACAGCTAAAAGTCTTCTTCGATAAATGCTATAACCATCCCAAAAACCATCTAAACTAAAGTAGAAGTTCTTGAGATTAGCGCAATCAAACAAACGTTTTTATCATATTAATAATATTAGTATAAATAATACTAACGCTTCCATACAATGCCCCGCCGTCAGAACCCACTGTTCATCTATTATAGACCCACCGCACCAATGCTTTCCATTCCTGGATATAGCAACATTATATGGATACATGCATATGCTAGTTTCCATGCCGCCGACGATGCGACGGACTGCATACGTGCGAAAGGCCCATGCTAAGTGCCTATCACTGTCCGATTCTGGAAAGACTAAAAGGGAAGTCTACATTTCAAGCTTTCAAATAATTCCATTGGGAAAGAGGCAATAAATTTTGCGAAACGATTCTATTGAAATCGTTTTAAAACAATTATCTAGAGAAAATAAATACTTAATTGCTTTTATAAAGTATTTTCGTGAACTATTTGGTCTGTATAAAACACTTTGAACTCTTTAAACACGAATTATTAAATTACCTACAATTTATTTTAACGCCCTACGTTTCAAATTTTGACTTTGACATTAGGGACACCCTCCGTCTTCGGTCAAGGAAAGCTTTGGGCTGTAGTTAAAAAAAATGTAATAATTTATCTAATACATTTCGCTTTTTAAACCGTTTTTTATGAACTAGAGGTTAGAGGCTAGTACTATTTGGTATATCCAATAAAATACTTTGCAGCAGACGTGGCCGTACAGGACACGGCTGTTGCTCTTAGTTAAAAAATGATTAAAGAAAAACTTGGCGTTTTAAACCGTTAAAGGGATTTTATTTAAATTTTTATTACTCCCTATAACAAGTGTTATTCATATATGCAAGTTCTGTCTTATCGTCTAACAACTATGACATTTTATCTATAATTTATATGTTTACAATAAAATATTCAATACATAAAATATGCGTGAAAGTAAATCTAATTGAGAGCCTCCTTTTTTAAAAATCGGTTAATAATAATTATCTGTTTAAAACCAGTTTTAAAATAAAATTGATAACTTACTAGGATCTAAGCGATCGTCGAAGGTTATTCTGAATCTTGTAGAGGTATTATCGTTTTTAAACTTGTACCTCTCTTCTAGGAACGTCTTGATATCCTCCTCGCTACCTCTATGTTTAAATTCTCTGTCACTCTGATCTCTATCGAAAACCTTGTCCACAGACTCATCGAGGAGTTCCACAACTTGTAACCCTTCAACGCGCAATAAAACCGTAGAAAGTACTAGAACCAAATATTCCTCTATCATTTTATCTGTTTTAACATTTTTTACTTTAGTTAGAACGTGTATATAATAAAAAGTTAATGCATTTTTTACGAGCGATTTCATTGTTCAACGAGATGGGTTTTCCGAGTACTGTTTTATTTTACGTTGAATGGAAAGCGTGATTTGTGAAACACTGAATTCTCATCGATTCTGATTAATGTTCGGCTCTTGTTTTAATTTTCAAGGCTATAAATGTTTTACTATATATTTAAGTTAATGTCTATTAGGCTCTTCTGTAAGCAATATTAGATTTATTTACTAAACAGCCTAACCCAATGTTCGTGTAATCAGGTGTTTAAACGTATTGCTTAGCATTGCGTTAAGTGCGAGAGGTTCTAGGTTTGAATCTCAGGGAAACAATCAATTGTTTCAGTCGGGCAGAGCAGAAGTCTGATCAAGTGCATACTTCTAAATCGATCAGTGAAACGGACACACAAATGTGTTTGCCCCCATACACTTGCAAAGGCACTGTATAGCGATTTATTAGAGTCGTCACACATTTAATTAAAACATTTATTACGGTTCAAAACTGCAACAATTAGTTAACTAGAAATTTCGTGTTATAATCTATTTAGTGTTTTATTTAAACATATTTCATTCCTCAATGTTCATGGCTCGTGTTATTTTACCTAAAATAAATATTCATTTTCTAATAACCGAATACAAAATTTCTTCTCAGAATATTGGATTGTATATCGCGCCCTGAACAATATTGTTTTATCATAAAACACAATTCCAATAAATCCTTATTTGCTCTATAAACTCGTAAAATCGCTTTGAGCTTGTGTATTCTCATGGCATTTGTCTTAGATGTCAGTTCTCGTATAACATAAACAAAAATTTACATTTATTTATTACTAAAAAACATGGAGTTAAGATGACCAATTCTGGTGCCGTACTGGTGGCACTAGCGTTGATAATCAATGAATTAAATATTTTTCACAATTGTAAGTATGGCTATAAATAAAGAAATGGTGGAGTTTGGAGCAGATATTGGTTCTTCCTATTTAATTCTAACTGTCTCTCTATCCATGTGGTTAAACGTGTTGCCTAGCATTGTGTTAAATGCGAGAGATGCTGGGTTCGAACCCCGAGGAAACCTTAGATCGTTCGGTCGGGGAGGACACAGTCTGATCAACTACTTGCCTATAAAGGAAGCGATTCGTGAAACGGATACTGAAATGTGTTTGCCCCATGACCCACGGGAGAAGCGGTATTTCACATAGCAACACACTTTCACAACAATTTCTTAATTATGTAGGTTCGACATCGAATCGAAATATTAGTCAGGATTCGAACCCATACCCATTATAAATCATTTGTTGAACCTAATTTGACTTTACAGCTTATATCCTAACGGAAGACTATTTCCCGTCAAATCTGGTTTTTCTACTCAGTGTGTGTATAATTTTGGAGAGAATAAGAATCTTTTCCGTTTTACGCCTTTATACTCTAATACGCTTTGTGATTGAGGTTTGCTTATAATTTATGTGATTCTAGTACTAATTATTTTCTAAACTTCGCTTCGCTTCAATGATATCGGATTAAGTTACTAAGTAACTGCCATAACAATAAGATTATATAAACGTTTTAATAGTGTCTATAGTTTACTCGAGTAGTACACATTTAAATAAAACACTTTAACGGTTTAAAACGCGATATATTTGTTTTAGGCACGGCTGCTGCAAAGCATCCGAAACGTTGGGCCGAAGTTAAAAATATTTTTTTAAACCGTTTTAAAGTGTGTACACTTTAAAACATTACATTCAAATTTAAGAGCAAACTTTTTTTTATTGAATACCGTAGAAATTTATCAAAATATACAAAAAGGTTTGCTTCTATTTGAATTGTATACATTACCTACTCCAGCGTCGCGTTCGCTCACGCCGCCCCCAGTACATTGCACAGGCTCCAGGTGCTTCAGAATCGGTTCACTCGAACCGCCACTGGAGCCATCTGGTGCGTACGGAATGCAAATCTTCACGCTGATCTCGAATTACCGACCCTCAGTCGGTACTTCAAGGAAACGTCCGAACGTTTCTTTAAAAAAGCCGCGACGCATCCGAACCCACTGGTGGCCCGGGCCGCCAACTACATCGTTCCCATTAATACACGCTGGAGAAGGCCGCGTAACGTTCTCACAGACCCCGATGACGACTTAACCAAAGCCGTCGACTTACTTATTGCTATGCGATCGGCCGACACCGGTGCCGATCGCCCGCAAAACCGCCTACGCCGGCGTAGGCGAGGTCATTCGCTTCGCGTACCGCTCACCCGGGTGAGCTTCCGTCCAGCTCTTCTAGCTCCCACCCGCATTGCGGCGGTCCAAGCCGAGGCCGATGCCCCCCTCGGGGCACCCTTGGTCTAGCCGCAAACACGGCGAGCGTTGTCGCGCTCGCCCAAAACGCCCGGTTAGTATTCGTGGCTCCTTAGGAACACAATACGTAAGAGTCCAATAAAAAAAAACAAAAAAAACATTCATAATCATCAAATTGAATAATAATTCACAATCAAGAATACACCTGTTAAATTTCAGATCGTGCTCTCAACGATTTTTCTAGAATGTTCTCTGGTATATATTTGGAGACCGCTACAGCTCTACTTACTCATCAACGCTGATGATATCCTGGTACAATTGTATGAGAACGAGACCTTTAGTTGGATGGTGTGTCCTTTGTGTTGTGGAAATAGGAACCCTGTTCCTGACTTTGTGCGCCTGGTACTTAAAATTTCTAGTTTTAGCTTCTTGTTAACTGTTGTCATTTTAACTAAATTATATAAATAAGCAACGTTCTTTTTTAATATGTATCTAGTATATATTTAATATATTTAGAATATACTGAAATAACTAGTTTGAATGATTTGTTTATGATAAAAGAGGACAGACGAGCAATGCGCTATGGCCCTAATTTGGCTTTGGTTATTCGGAAGTCCATAATGATTAGTGCGAAATTGTTCAGTATTTCTCCTCCTTGACTCCACAAATTTTAATGATGTAACATAAGTAATTCAAGCTTATTTTATCTTAAATAACTGCAACGAAGTCCACAAGGAAAAGTAATAAAATATTTCTTCAGACGATAAGTAGAGAAGTCTCGTTTCGAGGGCTTTCATCTTTCCGATATTGGTATTCTTAACGAGAACTGATATAACGGGCTCTAATTTGTTTTTCTAAAAGAGAGTGAGTGTATATCAAAAACTCTATCTATTATGTTTTCTTAAAATGTTACTAATAAAGTATTAACGGTAGTTTACGTGAGTAATATACACTTAAACAAACCCCCGTGACCACAGCTACTTCAGTGCATTCAAAACGTCGGGCCGTCTTTAACGTAAATTGAATATAAGGTAACTAGTATTACATATTTTGAATTTTCAATAGCTTTATTTAAATACACATTATCTTTTTGTATAATTAAGACATAAAAGTATTTCAGAAGTTAATAATTATTTTTTTAAACAACTAAATGGCAGATGGAACACAAAAATATTTTTTATCTATTCTTTTAACATCTGTTTACATATACACATAAATATAGTCTGTAGCACATTATATTTTTACTAGAATATGTATATTATGACATTAATTCCAAACACTTTATATAAAAAATACAAGCGAGCTTTTCTTTTGTTTTTTTTTTAACATGCACTGTGTATACATGTACTTATATAAAGATATAAACAGTTGTAGTTACAAGTTGTAAAAGGCAACCTTTGAAAAAATACTTAACATAGCACATTTAAAATAAATGTTCGTGAAGGCTTCAAAATGCTTTCACCTAGCTGTCATATAAACGGTTTTGTGAAAATTGCTTTAATTTTATTATGTAGTTAAGCAAATGTTTTACGAGGTCGTACACACTTTATACTTACTCTGTACTGCATACAACATACTGTAGAGTCTCGACATGCAATCTATTTTTGTGAAAATGCTTGATGCTCTTACCGAACGAAGAAAGTGACGCCGTAGTTGCTTATTACTATTTCACAATGACACGGGCATGGCTAGTTTTAAAATATCCTGTTATTTTAAATGTATCAGCTGTTTCGCGGTTTAGTGGTAACTCTCGATAGTAGATTACGTCATTTATTTTCGGTTTAAAGTATCATTGAATTTAAAAATGAATGAGCTCAGATTGTCAACTCTTTTACTGGCTTTGCTTTATAATTTATTTCTACAGTATTCTTTTAATATCTCTTCTCTCCTTTTATTCCAAATTATTAAGATGCGCTTGTGAAAATGCTGATTTATTATTGACTTGGATTCAGAAGTCGACAGATTGAAATCGTAACGTGAATTTATAGTTCATTTAATATGACAAAACTTAATAATTCTTTAGACTTTTTTTATGAAAGAGGAGGCCAGATAAGCCAAGAAGACGTGCAGCCGACGTATTATATGTCTTAGTACATTTGATAGATAGAATTTAGAAATCTCAGAAAATGATTTACAAAAGTTACTGGCACGTTAGGCATCGAACGTACAATCCAGTGTTTAGAAGCCTTACCCATAAATATGACTAAAGAAAACGTCGAAGTAATATATAGTATCAAATTGTTTTATTACCCTTTGATGGTGATTGCTTTTTATGAGTAAATACATTCAGTAATTTGTGCAATCATGCTAGGTGCGGCCCATCCACTAATTGAAAGTCCAATTAGTGGTAGCTATCCATTGTTTGTGCGCCTCCGGATCGCTTTTGGATACCACGATTGTGGCGTACGGAACTGTGCTGGATTACAGACAGAATCTAAACTAAAATCGATACAAAGGAGACGTTTTTAAACACAATAGGCTATTGGGTAACAATGCGCAAAAATATAGTGTCAATTACTGTTATCAATATTGAGCATAAGTTTAGAAATAGTAAAACAGTCATATATGTTAAAAACAATAAATAAAAATTAACTTTTGTAAACATTATGCTCCTGATTGGTGGGGTTTATGACTACGCCACTTGCTTATAAACAGTTCTATAAACCACTGTGCTTCCTAGTGTTAAACATTGTTTTAATATCTGTGTTATTTAAAAAAAACTCATTTTATGCATGAATGTAGATCATATGATCGCCATACAGCAACGGCCAATGTAAGGTCGTGACGTCACTAGTGTTTAGGCGCGCAATATAAATATTGAATTTTTAATTTGATATATTTCAGTAAATATGTATCAGAGTTCAAAAATACCTCTTTTCTAAGCATTCTTAACATCTACAAAATAATATAAATAAATTTAAAAAATCTGTCAAATAATTGAATCTAGGTGGGAAATATTAGCCGAGTAACAATCGGAATGCCAATTCTTGGGACCATAGCTTCGTCTATTTAGTCTATTTATCTATTTAGTGCTCCACCGGGATTCAAACCTACAAATTTATATTCCAGTCGTTTTAAATTAACACGGCTCTCCTATGTTAACAATCTATGTAGCTTAATTGGAAAACACAGTTCACATACGTGTTTTTTATCCCGGAAAAAGCGTACGATGTTGTGTTTAGGCAGAGATCGAAAGAGTAACTAATTGCTTGTGAATTAAACTCGGTACGTGAAACAGCCACAGAAGTGTGTTTGCTCCATGCCCTACAAGCTCTTGAAGTAGTTCCAGTCGACGTTATGTGAGTTAAATAAGAAACGGGGGCTAGTACTGCAGTTAAAAAAGGGAGGAATTTATAGTATTTTCTTCTACTTATAAGAGTTTCTTATTCCCTGGTACATTTTTAAAATATATATGCTATTAAAGTGCCCGCATCCGTCCCTGGTCAGATCGTATTTCCCTCCAAATTGACAGCACGCAGTCTTCATGATTGACGACATCAATTAAGCTTAACAAAAAATCTCAGTTGATCTCCAGAAATTTGTTAGAGACTTTATGACAAGGGGAAAAGGTTCAAAATCGTTTTAACGTACATACTCTAATGCGAAAATTGGGAGAGATGGTTGCTTCAAGGATAGATTGTGGCGCGCTAGAACAGTTCATTTGGCCGGATTATATATGGTTTCGCGGGAGATTGTAATGTTGCTATCCTGATAAGACCAACAAACATTTTTATAGGTAACTTAAGGCTTTAATTTTACAAATAAGAAACCTGGTATCATCAATACAAAAAGAAATTTTCATGAATTCTAGGCTCTTAAAAAAACAAGTTAATTATATAAATTGCTACAATTTAAATTAAATTTCTACAAGACTAATATTTTAAAGTTACACTGATGCCGTCTTAAGTGATATCTTAAAAATAACCATTTTTGGCAATAATTTTCGTCCTGGCAACTTTCAGGCAAACTGTTGCTGGGGCGGCAGGCGTGGGGTTGATTGCGAGAGGCTACAATTTCCCTCGATTCTCTGGATACCTATATAGAGTGGAGATCACATTCCAGAAGCGAATAACATATTATACTATGTCGTAAAAGTATCGATGTGCTTAAATCTCAAAACAACATACGAAAATATCTTTGAGTTTCTATCTTATTACAATTGTTTAATGAAAAATCAATTTCTGTTTTAAAGAGACAGATCGATATGCCTATGAGACACTTTTAAACATGTATCAATATTTTATACTAGTTAACACCGGTTTCAATAAGTGACAGTGATTTCAACAAGACGTTAGGGATTTTCTTTTATAAGCAGAACCAATAGGTACTTTACCCATCATTACTGCATCATGCAATAACTTGAACTTGGCCTTTACTACATCTAGATATTTGTTAGGCCAAGTTTTGAGTTACAATTTTTATTTAGTAAATTATAAGTAATCAAAAACCCATTCAGCCGAGGAAATATCAGCTCTATATATATCTACTACCCTAAACCAACAGGCGGGCGGGATTCAGTCCACCGCCATAACTCACAGTGTTCGGACGTGCCAGGATGCAAAGGTATGTACTTCGAAATATCAAAAAATAGTATAATATATAATGTCTTGAAGCTTCTACAAATGGTTAACGCAGGTAGTTAATCTATGAGCAGGTTAATTCTTCTATGAAGTTCACATCCTGTAATGTACATTATTAAATCCAAAGACAATGTTGGCAAGATAAATCTTAATATTGAAATTAAAATGTAATCTATGGACGGTTGTGATTATTATGTACTTTGCGCGTAATAAATTTAATTATTTTGAGGTTATAAGTTAAATTACTTTTAATACGATAACAATGTAATTAAAGTAATCTTTCCATCTAAAATCCGATTTTTGAAAAATAACTACAATTCTTGTCTGTAGTACAAAATTTAAACAAAACAGTTTAAAACCTATCAAATTAAAAGCAAAAGTAAATCTGCTGCGTTTTTATATTGGCTAATAAGAAAAAGAAAAAGTAACATAAATATACGCTAATGTTTTATCAACTGTGACACACCTAGGTATTTACCACATTATAACTTGAAATGTTGTATTTCTCTATATATCGATCTATACCAACTGCTGTGTAATTACCTATACTTAAAACTGGTCTATGTAGTATATGTTTCATCGTCTACAAAACCTAGCAATAATTATATATTTTTGATTCTGTTATTTGGAGTGATTACAGGGACAACAGAGATATATTCTATGTGAATTCAAGTTTCGAAGCGATTAGACATAAGCTAGTAACAGACAGCTAGAACAGTTTTCGTCACAGATAAAGATTTGAAAATAATCAATAATTAAACCGACTTTAAATTACTACACTTTTACATATGTGAATTCTTTATACTGGCAAACGTTCTTTTGCCATATGAAGGATTTCGACGAAATTAGATTTCTATACAACTGGTTCCTGTGATTTAATCTTCAAAGATACAATATACTGGTGTGGACTTTTTGTTAGATTATTTAATGAGAAATTATTTTTATACATTTTTTTGGTTTCTTGAACCGTTTTCGCAAAGCGAGCAACGGAAGCCCTCAAAGATGAATTATTTTTCCCATGTTTTCCACATTTTTCCCTGAATATTCGCTATTATATAGTCTAAAACCTTCCTCAATAAATGCTGTATCCAATACAAAAATGATTTTTCGAACAGTTCGAACCAGTAATTCCTAGGATAGCTCGTTTAAACAAACTTTTCAGCTTAGTATAGACTATAGATAATTTTACGCTTACGGAATCCTAATAATTATTATATACATGTACGCGGGAAGTAACTAGTTATATTCAGTGCCTCCGTAGGTAGTTGTCATAGTATGTCCTCGAGATAGTAAAGTGTATTCGATTTATCCCATCTGTGTGAGTGCCTCCTCTCGACCGTGTAATTTTATTAGAGCCTTAGATAGCGAGGAATAAATAGAATTTTCATTACTGAATTATATGAGATGAAAATATTTTTCTCTCGGCTCTGAGTTCGCAACTTGTTTATTCTGTCGATTTCAAATGCCATTGACCCAGGAGTTGTCTGTACGCCTTCAGTAAGTAATAGAGGGATAACTACAAATTCTTGTCTCTTGAAAAATCGATGTTGTGCTTTTCGTCTGGGGTAGTCACCCTTTGACGTCCCTTAACGAGTCATACAAAGATTATGATTACTTTCATGTGCATTTTATTTAATAACTAGCTGTGCCAGCGATTTCGTTCGCGAGAATTGTTATTTTGGCCATCCAAATTAGTTTTTGCAAACCCCGTCATCTTTATAAACTTAAGCTGTTAGCCACGACATCGATTGCGTCCCTTCCCGTCGTTCTTGCAAGTTAATCTTAAAAGATAGACATATAGCGTCACGGACCTTTTTTTTTGATTGTTTAAAGAGGAATCATTCTTTCATACAATTTTTTAAGTATCTTGAACCGTTTTCGCAGCGTACGCATCTAAAACCCACAGGGATAAAAGATTTCCCCCGTTTTGTTCACATTTCCCGTTGTATCTTCGCTTTTATCACACAGCGTGATGTTTTATAGCCTATAGCCGTTCTCGATAAATTTTTTAACCAACACAAAATAATTTTTCAATTCGAACCTGTAGTTCTTGAGATTAGCGCGTTCAATCAATCAAACAAACAAACTGTTCAGCTTTATATATTAGTATAGATTGCTTCACTAAAATCATAATTATCTCGTCTTTTAAGTCATAATTATTTTCCACGTTGTAGTTGCACTTAGAATATTACATATTTCATTAACAAAAGTTTGAACTTACTGACAATACTGTAAATGACATCGACTACCGATGTCGCTCAATTACATTAAGCTGTGGGTTTGAGACTCGAGCATATTTTTTTCTATCTAAAATAAGTTTTAAATTTAATTAACTCGATACATACGCTGATATTTCTGGTAACCTAGTCACTGCAAATGATAGTTTATGTTACCTCATCTCATTCATCTTAGTACTTCTTTATACTAGGAAAAGTTTTAACGCTACCTCAGGGAAGTTACCGGGTAAAAAGTAAATTTACTGGATTTTACTCGGGTCATAAGTACATTCCTACATTTTCTACCTCGTATTTCATAATAAGCATTTTTGTCATAACAGAACAGACAAGCATGTGGTTCACTTAATAGAAGGTCAAAAAAGCACATAAAGATGATCTATCAACCTTGGCTTTGGTCTTGAAAAATTAGTAAAACGTGAAAAATCGCTCTTTAAAATTCTGTTCTCAGAGCGCTTAAGATGTCGCTGAAACATCAGCATTTTGATAAAAGATGAGAAGATAACATTAAAACAACCGATGATTTATAACGATAAAACTTTAATTATTATCTGTGCGTGGAAAATTTTAATACTACAAAGGGGCTTTTGTTTTTCTTCACTTCATGCTTCAATTGATTACAGTTAAGTAGAACAGATTATTTTCAACTTTTTTTTTATCTCATAAATAATGACGATATATGTAGATTACATTTCTTTATTATAATATTGTGTAATGTTGATTAAAAAGATAAATTATTAATAATACATATTTAGCTTCTGTAATTGTACAGACTTTGCTTTGTTGTTTATTATAGTGTATATCAGGTTAAGAAGGATTAAATTCGCGTTTTCGGTCCATTAAGTTATTATTATCAAGATTGCCAGTAACAAAATAAATTCAGCAAATATAGGCTATAAATTCAATACCTTGAATTTCATAAAAACCTGCCTATTTCATAAATATCCGTATTTAAGCAAAGAAAAAATAAGTCATAAATTAAACATTAATGAAGCACGAAGATTGAATAATATTAAAAATTATTCTCTAATTTATATAATATAGATATATATTACAAAGGTCGCACTACCGAGACAGACGGAAAACGAACGGTACAATCTAATTGAACAGTTCGAAGAAAGTAAAAACAAACAAAGAATCTTAAGTTGAGTTCTTGCCTTGCACTTCTCAGGGATCTCACAAGGATTTCTCATCCCTACTTGGCCAATAAACATTACTTGTATGAAGCTAAATGAATGAAGTAAACGTTGGCTGCACCTAATGAAGGTCGTGTTACGAACCCCGTTGATATATGGTCTGGACGTTCAGCTCCAGCGCTCGTTATCACTTCTAATAGAGAATAATGCGAGTTTTATTCACCTTATGACAGAACTCGCTGGCTTGCGTGAAATTTAAAGAGTTTAAGCTAAAAATATTGTAACTTTACATATTAACGCGTAACGTCTAACGATAATTATTTTTAACGCATAAAAGTAATTATATTTAGACGTTACGCGGTCTATCACTGAGTTCTTTATAACAAAACTAGCTGTGCTGTTCTTGCAAGTTCTTTTTAAAAGATAGGCATATACTGTTGTGGACATTTTTTAGATGATTTAAAGAGGAATCATCCTTTTCTACATATTTTTTGTGTAACTTGAACCATTTTCGTAGCATATGCAACAGAAACCCACGATGAATTTTTTTTTCAGTTTTCTTCACATTTCCCGTTGTTCCATCACTCCTATAAGTTGCATCGCGATGTTTTAAAGCCTTTTTCGATAAATGTTCTAACCATCACACAAATATTTTTTCACTTCGAACCAATAGTTCCCGAGATTACCATTTTCAAACATACAAACAAACTCTTCAGCTTTATATAGTAGTATAGATTATATTTTTCTTTAGAGAGAGGTCACTCTCATTTTTGAGATCCTAGTGCATTCAATTCAATTAAAACTTATTAGAGACAGTAATAACCTCATATACAGCGAAAACATATCTAACGTCGATTGTTCTTGGCCTCCAGCATTCTCAAAGCGTTGTTTCAAGGTTCCATCACAAAAGCTGTTCGAGATCTCATAAGTAGCCTTTATGTGTGCCATTTTCAAGTTCCTCTTGGTGTTATGCTAACGTAAGCGTTATATTACATTTTCTGTTATCTGTGGCTGCATGCTGTCAGCAATGTTAAATCTGTGGTTTCATAATCCTTTTAATACTGCGTATTTCATGCCAGTATTTTATTTGACGTTTGTAATAAAAAAATATTGAAGTTATAGTAATCGAAAAGAAAATTAAAGCTAGTTAATAGCAACACTTTTATATAAAAGTAACCTAAGTTATTTTAATAGTTACATAAGTAAATAAACATAGCTTATTGATCACAGTAACATGTTTTGATAATATCTAGTTCATGTTAGATGTACTAACAAGATTTGAGACGGAAATTTTACTATTAATTGAAAATTTACGGTATTGAATACTTTTATTATTCACTGTATTTTTTAAATAGTACTCTATTTGTTATTTGAATAATGATGTTAATGATCTTTTATTCGATGATGCCTAATATAGAGATTCTACTTTACTAATTTTAGTACAAATAGTTGTTGCTCATTTATATTAGACATCATCATTATAATCCCTCAGTTGATGCTTAAAAGACAGGTAACATTTTATACTACGTGATGTTCGACACAACCTGTATAAGTAGCATGTAATTTGGCCTGGATAGTCATCGCTGTGAAATTGCATGTTATTAATTGCAGTC